TGGGGGGGGGGTGTTGGGGGATGCAACTAAAAATAGAGAAAAGAAAAAGAAAGGACCCTCTCCCCCTCCCCTCCCAACCCTTCTATCCACCGTCTGAAACATATCCTGACCTCCTAAACAAACGCGGCTCATTATTTTATCTTGCCCTGTTTCCCTATACCAGGGGCTTTATTGATGACACGTGGCTTTGGAGAGCGCTGAGTCAGTGACTCACCGAGTCTGAGACTATAAGCCCATACCCCCTTAGAGAACTCCCTACCCCTTCCCCCTCCGACTCCCCAATTTCTTAACTGGAACACCACCCTTTCCCCACACATACATACATACACACACACACACACACACATACACACACACACATACACACACACACACACACATACACATGCCTGTGCGCCCACGCACCCGCACACACCCATAAACACACTCTCACACGCATCCTCTCCTTCACACACATAATAATGTAGGCTACACATAAACATAATAGTCTAATATTTGCAGTCTCAAATAATTGCTTTAAGTCACATGCATAGGGCTTAGTATTAAAGAACATGCTAACAATAATAGTGTTAAACTACGTACGTTACCAGTATTATTTTGCGCCCCCTTCAGACATGAACGTTTTCTCTACTAAGTACACGTATACGAAATTCTATTCCTAGTTTGTATGCAGCTTACTATTTTGTGTTCCGCCTTTTCAGCAACACAAATTTCCACGACAACTCCGCTCTTCTCTAGATCTAACCTATTTGCTAGAAATTAAATGCATGTACCAAGCTGAGAAGAAATGGCTGCTCGACGAAAAAACCATAATCAATAGACTTTCGTAGAATTTCGTTATGACCGAAATAAACAACCGATCGGTGCCATGGGCCACCTGAACTGGCAAATCGAATACTAAAACTAAGTAACTTAGTCCTATAGTGAGTCTACCATATTGCAGATACGAAGAAAAAGAAAAACTACGTTAGGACTCATCGAATCACATAATTTGTATGATGTAAGATGGCTCGCCTTACCAAACGTTTCCCGTTTTTGATTACGTGCCTTGGTTTTGTTTTCTCTTCTTTTCATGCACTACCTGGCCCCTGGTGAAAAGAATGTAAAGTTCTCCAGGACACTATAAAACAATCTCAAGAACGACTCTGCCTTTTGTGCGACTTAGAAGGTACGTCAGAGATCGGTTCGTTTTCTCACCATGGTAGGAGGCAATTCGAGGAAGACCATAGGCCGTTTGTGGGGAGTGGGGTGGAGAAGGTGATACGTGGATGGACTTACTGTGCAGATCGATCGATAGTTAGATAGATAGATAGATAGATAGATAGATACATTGCTAGATAGATAGATAGATAGATAGATAGATAGATAGATAGATAGATAGATAGATAGATAGACAGATAGATAGATAAATAGTAGATAGGGGGAAGTGGGAGAGGGATGTGGGAGAGGGATGTGGGAGAGAGAAAGAGAGAGAACGAACGAGGGAGCGGTATGTAATATATAAATATAAAAAATAATATGACATCATATTATATATATATATATATATATATATATATATAAAATATAAATATATATATTGTAATATAATATAATATTATATTTATATATATATAATGTAATAATGTATTATATTACAATATATTATATATAAATACATAAAAATAATATGGTATGAGAAAGATAGATAGATAGAGAGATAGATAGAGAGATAGATAGATAGATAGATAGATAGATAGATAGAGAGAGAAAGAGAGAGAGAGAGAGAGAGAGAGAGAGAGAGAGAGAGAGAGAGAGAGAGAGAGAGAGAGAGAGAGATAGACAGAGATATATATATATATATATATAGAGAGAGAGAGAGAGAGAGAAAATGCAGTTAACTGAACCATCGGTTTCACGACTGAACGAGAGACCAATGAGCCACATAGTAAATACTACAAATTTACGTTATGCATTCTATTGAGTTTATTCTACTCCATAGAGTTACCCCCTTTATATTTTATGTTCTACTCTGCTTAGCCATTGTGAAAACACAGTCGAATGGACGTTATAGGCCTACTATAAGTAGCGCATATTGCAATGTAGGCCTAATGATGCTACGCCTAATGCAAATTCATGTTGGAAGAGGAGAGAGGTTCTAATATTTTTTTTCTTTTTTTTCTCTACATTTTACCTTTAGATGAAATTCGTATCCTGAAGCCCGAGATTGCTCAGAAAGATCAAGTAAGGGTTCCTCTCAATCTGTATCTTTGTCTTTACTTACCTCTCGCTTGTCTTCTCCATGTTGTCACAAGGTATTTATATAGGCCTATATATTTGTCACAACGGATTCAGATTTAAAAGTTTGCAAGTGGAAAAGTTTACCTTCTTAGATAATGATCATTAATTGCAAGCTCTGGACATCACTTCCAAAATTGGTTCAAACATTGCAAAAGGAAAGCTTTTCACTTTGAAAATGATCCTTTTGAAACCTGACGACATAATAATACGATTGAAAATATTTTACTGTCACTTGTTAATGTTCAAGCCAATTTTTACATTTTAATACCTGCAAGAATCTATATTTTTATTCAGTTCAAACACTGGGGTAGGTACATTGAAGGTTCTTACTATCATATGTACGTTTTTCTTGTCACACCTCTCAAAGGACACTTTAAGTGGCCATGAAATGTTCATCTATTTAGATAATTATCACTAAGGCAACTGTCTTCCACCAACGTTTCACCGAAAAGTTGGGTGTCCACAACAACTTTAAAGAAAATTTGACCCTTTTTTGTAAACCTTTTGATATTGGATCACACGATCGTATACTTATATTATATTATAGGGCCATACTATTTTGTTAAAAAAAGAAAGAACTTGCTCAGAGTGTTCAGTAGTCTACTGCCTTGAAGATATCGTGAATTATTTGATTAAAAAAGTTTTGTAATCCCAAATTATTTGCTTGATTTGGACAGCTTGAGCACCTTCAAAGAATAATGAAAAAGAGGTAAGACAGTGGCAAAGAAATTTGTTAAATAGGCTACTCAAACGAAAAAGTACATCAATAAAAAAAAAAGTCAAGCGACGGATGAATCAAACTCTGAGCAATCAATTAAACAAAGCAAACAACTAGCCATAAATCAAACATGTGATCGATCAGTAAACCAATCGATCTACCAGTGAGCTAGCAAAAATAGACGTGAAATGGGTTGAAGCCTACTCTTCTCTCCCTTCCTCCTCTTTCACCCTTCCCAATCCGATGCTTGCAGGCTCTCCTGGCTGAAGCTGCCCTCAGACAAGTGGAACTAGAAAGGGTCAACAATAGTCACTCAAAGGCAATGGATGAGTTGAGGGACAAGCTGACAAAAGAATGTGAGTACGCAACACTCTTTCAATCAAGTTATCGTATTTCATCCAAAGGTCAGAAATATCTTTTTATCACTGTGAAGTAATGGTGTAGTACATGTATAGGTTTATGCTCCCTTCAAAATTGAAAAGCTGTTGATCTAACCTGAACCTCCGAATTAATCAAGCCAAGGTGGACATCCTTGAAATCTTCTTAACAACAATCGGGCAGTTGAAAGACTTCCCTAATAGTTGTTCCTATTTCCATCATGTCTATCAATCTGTCTTTTGTAGTCTATTGCTCCCCCCCCCAGCCTTCCCACCTCCTCGCTATAAAACACTAATGTACAATGCACATTTTTCTTCTCATGCAACAATTGCACCCACAGGTGAAGCTAAAGTCAATGATAAACTTATGGAGCTGGAAGAGGCGAAGAGGCATAGCAGGGAATTGACCAAACAGCTGGACACTGAAGCCGTACAGAGACAGAAGGAAGTTGCAAGGATATCCATGGGGGTAGGTAGAGCTGGAGTTTTTTTTGCTTAAACTTAAAACAAGCTTTGGTGGGGTGTGGTTGGCCCCATCTCCTCCTCCTCCTCCTCCTCCTCCTCCTCCTCCTCCTCCTCCTCCTCCTCCTCCTCCTCCTCCTCGTCCTCCTCGTCCTCCTCCTCGTCCTCCTCCTCGTCCTCGTCCTCGTCCTCCTCCTCCTCGTCCTCGTCCTCGTCGTCGTCGTCGTCGTCCTCCTCCTCCTCCTCCTCCTCCTCCTCCTCCTCCTCCTCCTCCTCCTCCTCCTCCTCCTCCTCCTCCTCCTCCTCCCTCTTCTTCTTCTTCTTCTTCTTCTTCTTCTTCTTCTTCTTCTTCTTCTTCTTCTTCTTCTTCTTCTTCTTCTTCTTCTTCTTCTTCTTCTTCTTCTTCTCCTCCTCCTCCTCCTCCTCCTCCTCCTCCTCCTCCTCCTCCTCCCCTCCTGCTCTTCCTCCTCCTCCTCCTCCTCTCCTCCTTGTCCTCCTCCTCCTGCTCCCAGCTCTCTTCTTGTTTCCTTTGATGTTGTGTTTATCTGTCGTGTCTCAATCAACACTTGTGAATCCCATGACAACACTGAAAAGTTATGCAAAATTCTCTGTAGATGTTTTATTCCCCCATCTATACAATTTAGACCATTTAGGAGGTGGGACGCTTTGACCCTGTACGTCAGGGCCAACCCGCACTGAAAGGGATACAACGCCCCAGCCGGATGGAGGAGAAAATCAATGGACATTTTCCGCATTCTGGAATTGAACTCGCATCTTCTGCATTTGCCTAACCACTACACCACAGATGCTGGGTGAAAAACCCTTTTCAAACCCACACTCTATTTATGTAGACCTAAAGACCGTTGGTCTCAAAATGTATCTTTTTGCCTGGTGCAACTTTATTAAGATCCACCTTCGACCAATTTGTGTGGTCATTAAAACTTTCAGCTTGATGGACATTCATTTTTTAAATTCTCACTCAAAACAGCAAACAATTCCGTGTAGAAATAAAGTTTAGACAAGCCTTTTAGTGCAGTAGGCACAGGGTAAAATTGCTAGTTTTCCCTCATTTTAGGGTATGTTAGGATTTAGGGGCTGGCACTGAAAAGTTTAAAAAACATATCAACAATTGCAGATTTTTTAAATACACAGTTCCAAAAAATGTTGTAGAATGGCATCAATGTACAGTACTAGGGCACAGCCCTCAAATTTTGAATCTAATGTTCTCTAAATTTTCCATTGTTTTTGTCTCCAGTACGAAGCCAAACTGAGAAAGGCCCATAGACAGAACACTGAATACCAACAACAGCAGCATCAGATTCTGAATCAGGATGTCATGAGAAAGGTAAGAAGACACAGGATAATTTCCAGTTCTAATACCTATCGACATACTCTTATATTTTATACAGTGTGGGAGAAGTTGAGAAGTTGAGAATAGCTGAACGTCTTACACAATGTAATTACATGTATGATACAGTAAAAAAAAAAGGCAAGGGAGGAAGTTGGAAGTAGTCATTTGCACAAGTGATAGTCTGGGACAGATTTGGCCATTAGGTTCAACTATATGATATGTTCTACTGGGCCGAGCCATGAGGATGTTTTGGCAGCGAGGTCTTTGCATTTTTTATCTTTTGCTCTTGCAACAAGATTTACAGGTTATACAAACTCTTATTGCTAGTTATAGACAAAGGCAATGTTCAAACATATCTCACAATTACAAGAAAAGAGTACAAGTACAAAGTTATATATTCTTTGATCAAGCCTAAATTCTTAAAAATTACAGAAAATGCAGTACTTGGAAAAAGAGATTCAGTCTCTGAGGTTACACATCAAGACGCTTGAAGCTGGACAATCTAACTTGAGTAGAACCAACAACTGCACACCTGACACAGCGGAGAAGAACTCGTATCGGGGCCTCCCCACTGGGGGTCAGGTTCAAGGGTCAGTCAACGACCCCCAGACAAAGAGACAAAATGTGATGGGCTCAACAGTCATCCACAAGGACAGCAGGAGGAAAAGTATGCCATTGTTCTCGAACTGAAGTGCTGCATTATCCCAGTTTTACGTATTCATTTAGTTCTAAATTTAAATATTCATTGGTGACCAACTTCCAACTTTGTACTTTGTCACACTAAACTGTAAAAATATTTTCAGCTGTGGGTTGTTGTTGATATGATGGTTTTCTCTTTGTCGCTTTGTGAGTTTCTTGTTTTTTTCCAAATAAATGCCCATCTTCAAAACAGAATTGAAACCAGCTCATGTATGTATTCAGAAATAGACGTTCACACTCTGGCTATTCACACTATGATCAGGTGCTCATGCCAATTTTTTGTTATCACAATGTGACACCAAAAGGGTGTTAGCCTACAATAAAGCATGGACTGTTCTTCAAACTCCTACACCAGAAAAATAGATCCCAATCGTTGAACAATTTTTATTAACAACACACCGTAATGCTTCTACTCTTATGCAGTTGCATGTCCCCTGTCGCAAACATTACGGTACTACAGTTTAAAAAACGACACCATGAGCACAATGGGTAATCACGATACCGGTACACAAAATGACACTGACATGAGAGACGACAATGTGTAATCTTGATAATACAGTGTGCATAAAGGGATGCGTTTATTTGAACTCACTCACAATAACACATCAGTCCAGGTTTGCATCTTCTTGTGCATATTCAGACTTACAGGAAAATCAAAAATAAATGTGAGCTTTGAGTGTTTGAGTTGGTGGGAGGCATACTCATTGTCTCAATGTCTCCTTCACGTCTAGGCCTATAAATAATGCAAAAACAATCAAGGGCATACTCATCTGAGAAGACACTCACATAAACTAATAGACACACACGCACACGCACACACACACGCACGCACACACACACACACACACACACACACACACACACACACACACATACATACAAAGATCCCTGGATAATTGTTAAACACAATCATAACTGATCCGTGTCTCTGTGACCATTTTGTATGATCTGCTTGAATGGGCATTCTTTGGCCTGATTGTATAATTTTATTGATAAAGGACAAAAGCATTTGTTTTGAAATTTAAAACCCCCCACAAAAACACCCCCCCCCCCCGAAAAAACACAACAACCCACCCCCCAAAAAAACAAACCCAAAACAACAACAACAAAACAAAACAACCACGGGGGTGGGTACCAAAGCCGAATCAAAGGAAGCACTGGCCATCCATGATCCAGGAAGAATGATCATAATAAATTAGGACTTTCACAGCTTTGCCTTTGCACAAGAGCCAGAGTTGAGCAGTTCCTGCCTCACCATCTCTGTGGCCCGGAGTGCACACCCCCAGTGCAAAGTGACACCAGAACCACCATGGCCGTAGTTGTGAACCACCTGAACAAGGAGAAGGGGAGTGTATTTTTTAAAAACTTTTCTGTTAAATCTCTAATCTACTTTTGAGTTGTCATACATTTTGACAGCCCCCCCCCCTGCTCGTTATAATGTTTACTTATAAATTGAAAAAAAAAAGTATTCAATCTATACAGATTTCATCCCTTCACCCATTATATGCTGAAGCTTCTCAACACAAATTGATGCAGGAAAATAAAACCAGCAAAATAAGCATTGATTCTACACAACAGAATCACAATTATTCTTTTCTGCCTGCCATGCCACTGCTTTTAACTTATAATCAGTTTCTTGCACCCATCAACTTAATATTGCTGACTTAAGTGGTGGGCTGTTTTGATCCTGCCTACCAAAGCTGAGAGAGACTCAGCATCTCAGTAGAATGACAGAGATACAATGTACTCGGTACAGTATAAATAATAAAGTTCCCCACTTTGGAGTTGAACTTCTGTCTCACAAAACGCTGGTACTTTTTAAATAAAAAAAAAAGAAGCAAAATTGCCATAAGTACAGAAAGAGTAATATATTCTCAAAAGGAACAATATCTTACCTTTAAAAGGTTTCCTGAACTGGATATCTCCTCCCTCTCAAGCCTCAATCTGGATCTCACAGGGCGCAGGTCTGCCCATGAACGTATTATCTCGGCTTTCTGTAGAATTATTCATACATTTTATGAGAGAATACGCTCCCCTCCTGATCAATGAACAAATACATTTCATTGATAACATCTGCTACTATTTATAAAGGATATAATATATTGCATTAAAAAAATTGGAAGTGTAGGGTGTACGCTTGTTTGAGTGTCAGTCATAATATCTGACATTGAGGGTTCACCTAAATATTGTACAGAAATACATACATTCCATGTACCTCAACAAGAGAAATTTGAATTACATGTACCGGTACATCAACAATGTCAGCAGTTACAAGACAGGTTAATAGTAATATGAAGGAAAATGTCAATTTGAATTGTGATCAGAAGGAAAGAACTTACTTTACTTTTTTCTTCTGCTTGTACCGGTGGGTGTCGCGGGGAGACACAGGCGTCTGTCTGCAGAAAGGCGAGTGGCCTGTAGGAGGGACATCCCGTGAGCTCTAAGGGTGTCTGCCTCAGATTCACTCCATCGTCGCCTTGGTTTTCCTTTGGCTCTCCATCCATCCAGAATAATGTTGTATACTCTCAGAGCTGGATGGTTTGAGGGCGTCCGCGTGAGGTGTCCGAACCACTTGACCTTTTGTTTTTCAATGTGGGTAGGACTGGTGTTGCTCCTACGGTGTCCCTTATGAATTCATTTTTTATTTTGTCTCTTCATCTTTTGTTGACCGCTCTTCTTAAACATTTCATTTCGCATGTGACCAGTTTCCTCTCTAGGGCTTTTGTTAGGGACCATGTCTGGCACTGATATGTGAGTGTTGGAAGGAAAATGGCGTTGATGAGCTTCGCCTTGGTGCTCATGGGGATAAGGGCTGAGTTGATAACTGACTGCTTTGGCTTTCTGGCATCTAGTCTCCATTTCTCGATCTAATTTTCCATTTTCTGTGAAAATACTGCCCAAGTATTTGAATTCGCTGCTTTGTTTTAGCTGGGATCCATTGATATTGATATCCACTTTGTCTGGTCTCCTGCTAATTGTCATGGCTTCGGTCTTGCTAATACTGATCTTCATGTCATATTTCGCGTTTCTCGCAGCTTGCATTTAGTTGGTTCATATGCTCCTGTAGCTGGGTCTTGTTGTTCATCATTGCCAGGTCGTCTGCAAACATGAGTTCGTTGAGTGCCTCTGGGTCTGGATTGGCCTCCTTTGTAATCTGGTCCATGAAGATCACGAAGAGAAGAGGGGAGAGATTGCAGCCCTGTCTGACTCCGGATGTTACTGGTAACCAGTCCGATGTTCCACTGGTAGTGCGGACTGCGCTTCTGCTGTTGGTATAGATAACCCTGGTGTTGTCTAGCACTTGTCCCTTGATGTCGTACTGCTCCGGGATCTTCCATAGCTTGTTTATATTTACTCGATCAAAGGCTTTTTCTTGATCCACAAATACGAGATGGAGATCTTGGTCGTATTCCAAAGCCCTCTAACACAGTTGTCGGAGTGCGAAGATTGCATCAGTGCACCCTCTTCCTTTTCTAAAACCAAACTGGGCGTCACTGAGAAGATGTCCGGCTTTTGCGCGAGTGCGTCGCTCTAGAATCTTTGCATACATTTCCCCCGCATGGCTGAGAAGAGATACGCCTCTAGGTGTTGCAGTCTTCCTTGCTGCCTTTTTTCTTCCATATTGGCACCACTATCGCATTTTGCCAGTCTGCTGGTACTTTTCTCTCTTTCCAGGCTTTCTGGAAGATGATTGTAAGCCAATGTATTCCGGTTTCACCGCATGCAAGGAAGACTTCGGTTGTGATGCCATCGTCTCCAGCAGCCTTGTTCTTTGGACTAGTCTTCAGTGTTTCTCTCACTTCACTCTCCAGGGTGGTAGGTAGGAAAGAAAAATAATAAATTCTGAACTATTTAAATGGCCTACATTTTCATTACCACATTAAGACTATTATGGTTCACATCATAATATTTACCCTACCAGCTTCGCTGAAAGTTTTCCAATCATACCTTCAACATGGGAAGAAAGTCAGTGGCCGCTTTCCAGATTTTGTCTGCAACGTCAGGTTTAGGCTCTGTGCTCCAGTTTCCCTTTTCTGCTGTACCCCCAATGACCACATTTTTTGCCCTGAATTGTGAAATGACAGTATTATAATTCAACCATTCCTAAAGGACACCTATAATACTCGTATAGTGACGGAAGCTATCCATGGCATTGCAGAGGACATGCACAAGGATTGAGAAATGATAATAAAATCTTCCTTAAATGAATATGCTTGTAGGTGTGTATGTGTGTGTGTGTGTGTGTGTGTGTGTGTGTGTGTGTGTGTGTTTGTGTGTGTTTGTATGTGTATATTGTGTATGTGCATGTGTTGTTGTTGTTGTTGTTGTTGTTGTTGTTGTTGTTGTTGTTGTTGTTGTGTGTGTGTTAGCAGGAGTAGAGTGGACGTATGAGGAGTACACATGAAAAATTTGTTACTTGTATGTGCACATATATTTGGGAAGGAGTAGAACTATAAATGATTGTACATTTCTGAATGCCCAGTTTTTTGTCATCATAATAATGGAGGAAAGAAAGAAAGGGTACCAGGATTGATTTAGACATCAATTTAGTATCTTTTAATTCAAAGTTTGTTCTTTAAGCTGATGCAGAAACCACTTTGGCTCCAAATCTTCAAAGTATGAGCTGGCCTTAAACAAACCAAAGTCAAAGACTATATCAAAATTAAAAAATGAGAAGACAAGAGTGCTTACCCGGGAAGAATATAGGCCAAGTCAAAGCCCTCAGCTGGCTTCAGAATGTAGAAATGCTTCAGCCAAGGAGCCCGAACCTAAGATACAGGGAACCAACAAAACACAACACATAACATTAATATGCAAGCTGGGCAATTACAATGCAATGTTAATACAAGCAGCTAACATCTAATAGATTCTCATACCGACCCCACAAGGCATCAAATAATAGTATTAATAGTTCATAAAAGATCTTAACATAAATGTGAGAAGAAAATGCAGTCCATCCTGTTTGAAACCACATCATGACACTAGAATTAGACCGTCTGGCACCATCTATGCAAGCAATCATTGAATCATTCCTTCAATCCCCCCCTCTCTCTCTCTCTCTCTCTCTCTCTCCCCCTCTCTCTCTCTCCCCCCCCCTCTCTCTCTCTCTCTCAATACCTCCTCCCATGACATAACCCATCCGTCTTCCACCACGCCCCCAGGCGCACAACGCCCACGAACACTGAGATCTATGCACGGATTTGAGCAACAATTCTCCATGGCGCATCTCTTGATGCTGTTCACGACATATGGACAACGTTACGGGGAAACCATCTCTCTTTCTCTCTCTCTCTCTGTCTCTCTCTCTCGCTCTCTGTCTCTCTCTTTGCTTCTCTCTCTCTTTCTCCCTGTCTCTCTCTTTGCTTCTCTCTCTCTTTCTCCCTGTCTCTCTCTTTGCTTCTCTCTCTCTCTCGCTCTCTGTCTCTCTCTTTGCTTCTCTCTCTCTTTCTCCCTGTCTCTCTCTT